TATATGGGTCAAAGACGAAAAAGGGTTTAAGCATAAAACAATAAGTGTAATACTGCTTTAAATTGTTGTTGTTTTTCCCCCCAAAAATTTAAAAGTTTTCTGTTTAATTTAATTGCAATTCTGTTTTTGTTTTCGGAGCAAAAAAATAAATATCATACATTTTCCCCTGATTTACAGAAGAGAGCCACTAAAATGTCATTCAGTGTAGAAATCTTGTCAGGCATATTTACAACAAAAATCTATTTATGACATATTAAAAGACTAATTACTTTCAAGTGTGAGTTAGTCAGCCCTTTTGTGTTTTGACCAATGGGTTTCTGTGCTTTCTCCTGAACAGGTTTATAATGAGCAGATTCGGGATTTGCTAACTAACTCTGGTCCATTAGCGGTGAGAGAGGACAGCTCCAATGGAGTTGTTGTTCAAGGACTCACCCTGCACCAGGTGAAGTTGGGCTGCATGTGTCATCTGTGCATTTTCTGTGACCTTGATTCATCTCACTTTCACCCCAAATACTAATTAGTTGTAATTTTACATTTCTAAAATCCTAGGTTTTGCCCATTTGTCAGCAAGAATTTTTTACTCATTTAAAACACAATCAAATATAATACGCTCCTTTATTCTTTTATATATTTTAATATGTACACGTCAGAATAAGCATGTTTGAATTTTTACATAAATAGTGTTATACTGAATGGCAATGTAACATTATTTAAACCAAATTTTTGACATTTTATCCTCCAAAAACTTATTTGAAACCTTAAAAGTAGACATTTTACTTTCATTTAATGTGCTTTCTATGGACAATCACTTGTGTAAATTAATTTTGATGCGGACATCTTAACGTCTTTGACCCATATATAGACTTTATAAACACACACACACACACACACATACATACATATATATATATATATATATATATATATGATTTATTTTTGTAAAAAATGTGCATTTCAAAACTTCTTGCCGTGTCAATAAAGAGCGGACTAATTTTGTGACAACATGCCCCACCATAAAGGCCCATACAGAACTATTCAGAAAAATAAATTAAATCGATCAATCAATAAGAGCATCAAAACTTAAATCATGTTGTGGAATCCTGATTTTAAAGGGGAAAAAAACAATGAAAAAAAAATTTCATTTATGAAAATCAGAAGCAGGGCAGTTTTCCCCTCTTCCTAAATGATGAAAACTGTTTGAAAGGCGGGTTGAGAGACGTGGAAACTCCTCAAGTGCGTGTATAAAACCACTTGAGAAGCGTGGTTCAGAAGTCTCCCGAGTTTTTTTGAAGACATCGCACACAAGCTTGCGCAATCAGGATGCCGTCAGCTCAGAGTAAGTGCAGCGTTGGAGACAGACGGATCCTCGTGAGCAGACGCAGCTCTTCACGTTCTCTCTCTCTCTGCAGACGCAGCACTCTTCCTGTCTGCTGTACTGGCAGCGTTCATCAGTCTGGGGGATGCCGTGCCTGCCTACAGCGGTCTGGTTTCATTTATGAAAATCAGAAGCAGGGCAGTTTTCCCCTCTTCCTAAATGATGAAAACTGTTTGAAAGGCGGGTTGAGAGATGTGGAAACTCCTCAAGTGCGTGTATAAAACCACTTGAGAAGCGTGGTTCAGAAGTCTCCCGAGTTTTTTTGAAGACATCGCACACAAGCTTGCGCAATCAGGATGCCGTCAGCTCAGAGTAAGTGCAGCGTTGGAGACAGACGGATCCTCGTGAGCAGACGCAGCTCTTCACGTTCTCTCTCTCTCTGCAGACGCAGCACTCTTCCTGTCTGCTGTACTGGCAGCGTTCATCAGTCTGGGGGATGCCGTGCCTGCCTACAGCGGTCTGGCCGAACTCTCCGAAACATCTGGAGACGAGGCTCAGGACGTGGAGGGAAAGAGTCCTCTGAGCGAGTGGCAGAAATGGTATCTGATGGCCAGAGATCTGCACAGAGACGTCAAGACGCTGCGAGACCAGCAGGTGTGTCTCAACACACACTAATGCAAAGATGCTTTGTGTTACTCAAACTAACTCCGAGTTCCTCCGTCTGCAGTTTGAGAGGGACTTCAGAGAGACGGAGAACATGACGGCGTATGAGGGAGTGAGGATCGAAACGCCTCTCCTCGAACCCTCCGACGGCTGTCTGTCCAGAAACTTCAGCGCAGTAAGAACACGCTTCCTCTCAGACGACTCTGGTTTATTTATGGCTCGCGGTTTAATCAGGAGAATGCTTCTGCTAAGCTGATTTTACATTTGAAAACAATAACATTCAAATTTTGAAACTTTTTTATCGTCTCTGTAAATACTTTTTAACATTTTCTAATGCATTATGAACTAATATGAACAAACTATATTTTAGTTTAATGATGTAAAATTGCATTATACATTTCATTTTTTATTTATATATTTCATATTTTATATATTTAAATTAAATCACATTGTTATTAGTTTTTTTTATATATGTTTTTATTTATATTATTTAGCTATATTAACAGGTAATTTATATTTTTATATATTATATTTAGAAAATTGTTAGTTCGTGTTAGAAAAAGCATTAACGAATGATACTTTATTTTAAGGCGTTACAAATATTTAATCACTTTTAGATTGTGAAGTTTTAGTAAGACTGAAAGTTCACATTTGCTAGAATGTCTTTTTTTGTCACTATATACTTCTGTGTTATTTCATAGTTTTGATAAGTAACCGTAATAATAATAATAGCAATAAATAAAAAAAATTATTAAAGTACTACTACTACTACTAATAATATATATAATAACTTTATTTATTGTATTACTTTAAAATCAATCATTATCATTCAAGCCAAGCATTGTATTATTTCGTCAAATATTAACGTGTTGGTGATGAATCCCCTCACCGATGTTTCAGGAAAGGTGTCTGAGCCGCATTTACAGCGTCTTGACCTGGTACAAAGAGAACTGGAGCTTCATGGAGAAGGAAAACCTGACCTGGAGCCTGGTGAAGGACATCAAACACGGGAGCAAGCGGCTGCTGGAGGCCCTCAACAGCCAGGTACACACACCTCAGCGGCTCTGCTGCGGTTTAAACTCACTGAGAAATGCACAGGTTTAAGAGCAGAAATATTGCCGGAAGGTCACATGACCGAGACGTTGCATTAAAATGTGATTAGCAAACTTTTTTTTTTTTGGCAGATTATTGCTTTTCTTTGTTCACACCTGCCTATTTGATTTATTAGGAGTTGAGGTGGCATTTCATTTTAAGAGCATAAACATTAAGATATTTGCTAACACTTAAAGGGGTCCTATTATGCTTTTTCACTTTTTCAACTTCAGTTAGTCTGTAATGTTGCTGTTTGAGCATAAAAAAGATCTGCAAAGTTACAAAGTGACTCAAAGAAGTCCAATTCAAAAGGAGATATTTTATTTAGCAGAAATCACTTTTCAAAAACTACAATGAACGACTCATTTGGACTACAACGCATATTTTCCGGGATTTGTGATATCACAAATATCGACGAATGGGACGAGAGAAAATCAAGACTTTGTAAAAGAGCATAATAGGACCCCTTTACATACTTATATATATATATATATAACAAGTCCAAGCCACCGTTAACAAAAAATAAATACTACATTTAAAAACATGATGAAATTATATTTTTATAACAACATTTAAAAACATTTTTATATATTATACAAAACAATACAGACTACAATCATCTATGAATAATTTACAGTTTAATGCATTTCATTAGGCATTTCTTTTAAAACATAAACATTAAAATATTTGGTAATATTTTAAAATAACTACAGCATTTATTAACTTTAGGTAGTGTTAATTTACTAACAGCATTTATTAATACATTTTTAAAAACAAAACTTCCATGCTAATACTTTTAAATGCATTATGAACGAATATGAATGAATTATCATTAACATTCCAAATTATATTTTATATTACCATTTATATATTTTATATTATATTTATTTATATAGCATATTTTATATTAAATTGATATTATTAGGTTCCTTATATATTTTATAGTGCTGTCAAATGATTATTCACTATTAAATTGCATCCAAAATAAAAGGTCTTGTTTACATAATATATGTATGTGTACTGTGTATATTTATTATGTATATATAAACACACACATACAGTATATATATTTAAGAAAAATATGGTACGTTTATATATTGCATATATTTATATATGATATAATTTATATTAATATAAATATATACACTGTGCGTGTGTATTTATAAATACATAATAAATATACACAGTACACATACATATATTATGTAAACAAAACCTTTTATTTTGGATGCAATTAATCGCGATTAATCATTTGACAGCACTAATATTTCATATACATTTTATATAATAATATATAAAATTAAAAATATATAAAATAATTAATATATAATTATATATTAATAATATAATTATTAATATATCATTTTTTTATTGTTAGTTCATGTTAGCATTCAATGCATTAACGAATGAGATTTGAATGCATTACTAAATATTTAATTTCTTGTTTTGAATGTTAAAGCTCAAAGATCAACTGACTGGTCAAAAGAGATCTCATTCAATACTTAATAAATAGACGTTTACCTAAAAAGCAGGTGAAAAGTCATGCAGATTATAGCATATCCCAGTCGTGAAGATCCAGACGCAGCGACTGGTGATACACTGACATCAAACAGACCAAAAAACAGCATTTCAGCCAGTGCTGCAGAATCCACCAGCAGCCCAATACGAGCTCAGCAGACGTTCATTAGCGGTCACTTATGAACGTCTGGTGTCCAGAGTTGCCAAGTCTGCATATTATACGCGACTTTGGGCTTCTTTTTTTGTAAAGTTGCGTGAAAAAATCCTGGGTTGCGTTTTTTTGGGCTTATTTAAAAAAATATGGTTGCTTGCTAGGGAAATCTGACAAGCAACTTTGTTTCTTTATGTTCGCCGTATTCTCCAAAGCATTGAATGACACTCTGTCTGCTCGCAGTTAAAGTTAAAGGCACACTATGTAATTTTTCGCCGCTAGAGGGCGCGTATTCAAAATAAACAAAGAGACAAAGGCGTAGTTAGATGACGCTGTGACTGAGTGTGGAATCATGGGAGTTGTGGTCTTCATCCCCACAGCCGACGCAATCCGACGGGACTCGGGCAGAAATCATGTTCATGGATGAGCTAATGATTTATTAACATAGTAGAATGAAGCAGGGTGAGGCTGAAAGCCGTTGAAGCGAAACGAGGCCGCTGAACGAGCGCGACACACGGTTCGAAAGCAGCAGAGCTTTTATTATGCCACAGTCGACCGCTTCCGCTGCTTCCGGTCGGGTGTATGTGGGGTAAAGCAGCGGAGCTTTTATTATGCCACAGTCGATCGCTTCCGCTGCTTCCGGTCGTGCGTATGTGGGGTAAAGCATTCTTGTTCTCACTTTTTTGCAGTTTGCTGGTTTTTGTAAAATAGCTTCCGTTTCTGCTTTTCAAATAAAAGAGTGGTTTCAGTTTAATATGTTGCAGGCTCATTTACTGGTAATAAATAATATTGATGAAACACAAATGTGACCCTGGACCACAAAACCAGTCATAAGGGTCAATTTTTTTTAATTGACATTTATATATCATCTGAAAGCTGAATAAATAAGCTTTCCATTGATGTATGGTTTGTTAGGATCGGACAATATTTGGCCGAGATACAGCTATTTAATCTGGAATCTGAGGGTGCAAAAAAAATCTAAATATTGAGAAAATCGGCTTTAAAGTTGTTCAAATGAAGTTCTTAGCAATGCATATTACTAATCAAAAATTAAGTTTTGATATATTTACGGTAGGAAATTTACAAAATATCTTCATGGAACATGATCTTCACTTGATATCCTAATTGGCATAAAAGAAAAATGTATAATTTTGACCCATACAATGTATTGTTGCCTATTGCTACAAATATCCCCCAGCGACTTAACACTGCTTTTGTGCTCCAGGGTCACAAATCATCAACCAATTATTGGGCTTGTTTTTGAAGCAGCGGTTGCTTATTTGTGTCGTGAGAGTTGGTAACAGTGTCTGTCTCTTTGCTCCTGCAGCTGCAGATAGCGGACGGACAGACGGATCAGATCTCCAGCGCTCCTCTATCGGTCAGATCCGCATGGACGCGCAAGACCACGACGCATTCGATCCTGTTCAACTTCAGCAGCGTGATGATCGACACGTGCAGAGCCCTCAATTACATCAGCAAACACAAAGCTGCACACCGAGCAAAAGACACGAAGAGACCCGCAGACTGGAGCTCCGACAAGAACTCGTTTACCTGACTATCCTATTTATTTATTGACCTTTGCAGATATTTAATTCAGGGCATGATAATTTAATATATTTATGAGTCTGTGCTTTTAACTTATTGACTGTTGTGCAACATTGATATTTATAAATGCAATATTTATGTGCCAGTACTTTTATTTCCCGTAAATGGGTTTTTCTCATTAGAAAATCAGTGCTGATGAATATTCATGAACTTGTTTGGTTTATTTGAAACTGAAAGACTGAGACCAACATGCTGACTGTTTACAATCATCTAATTCGATTCAATAAAAAAACAACAAAGAAAGCTCAGTTACATTTTGTGTGTTTCTCAATGCAATGTTTTAGAAAGAGGAAGCAAAAGTCTTAAAATAACACAAAAAGCTGGGTGAGGTATTTACATCCCAGCACAGCGTCCCGTGAGATGCTCGTCTGCATCTTCATCGGGTTTGTGAATAGGTCTGGGGTTTCCGTCAGGAGCGTCTTCATCCCCAAAGCAAACTGAAAATACAAAAAAAGTCTTCTTCAGCAGCTCTATGTGCTAAAACACGAAGACCTTCACACGAGCAGGTCTTCATCGGGTTTGTGAATAGGTCTGGGGTTTCCGTCAGGAGCGTCTTCATCCCCAAAGCAAACTGAAAATACAAAAAAACAGTCTTCTTCAGCAGCTCTATGTGCTAAAACACGAAGACCTTCACACGAGCAGCTCACAAAACTCACCTGAGGACCGAGGGTTCAGGCATCCCCGGATCGGCTCCCCGCTTGAATCCTGCGAGAAATAAACACCTTTAAAAACACACGCTTCTACTGAAACCCGCAACAGATTCAGAAGCGGGAACTGGGAATGTCACGAACTGCTCCAGCTCACATCTCATTAAAAATCAACACATAAATTTAAATATTAATTATAATAAATGTAATTACACATGAATGAATAACTACACATATGATGTAATATTTTATTATATATATATATATATATATATATATATATATATAAATAAAACCACACACACACACTTAAATTACAATTTTATTACACATGAATGAATAACTACACATATGATGTAATATTTTATTATATATATATATATATATATATATATATATATATAAATAAAACTACACACACACACTTAAATTACAATTTTAAAATGTACAAAATAATAAATTATTATATAATAACCATTTAAATTATATTAATACATTTTATAAAAAAATATACATAAATATTAATAATAAAATTAAAATGTGATTTTCAAATGCATAATAGTTATAAAATTATATTTAGCCATTTAAATTATATATATATATATACACACAATTTTTAAATTTACAAAATAACAAAATATTTTATTTATTAAGTTTCTATATACAAAGAAAAGTAAAGCAATTTTCCCCATTACTTTTAGTGTTCCTCATGACTGTAACACTGTATTTTCTCTCATTTCAATCAGCTTAAGAGCAAAACAAGAAATACTACAATCATGAATGAATTCATCTTTCACAATTCGATGTCAGTTTTTATTTTTTTTGCATTACAACAAAAACAATGCAACTGAGAATTTGGGAGAACGTGTGTTTAATTGTCACTAATAAAGTCAATGCAAAAAAAAAAAAAAAAGGTATTCCTTTTCTTAATGCAGTTTATTTTATGTGTTCTTGACGGCTTTTGTGAGATTAACTGATCTACAGAGCCGGTGACGTTCAATATCATGCCGATATGTGTATTATCAAAGTCCCTTTCATGAATTTTTCATCTAAATGAATCTCAAAAACTGCATGCTGAACTCACAATTAAATTACATATTTCAAATCAGCAACAAAATCTGAAATGAACTGGCCCCATGAATGTTGTTCCTTATGCTCAAAAAGCATCAAAAAAGCTTATTTTTCAGGTTTATGTGCAGTCATAAACACGAGCTTCTAACAGCAGCTGCAGTGATGCAATAACTTTACCAATCAGCCATTGGCTGTTTTATACAGAAGATGGGACTTTTCTGCCATATTGCACGTTGCAGTTTCTCCTATTCATAAGTAATAGTAATAATATACCTTAAAGGGTTAGTTCACCCAAAAATGAAAATTCTGTCGTTAATTACTCACCCTCGTGTTGTTCGAAACCCGTAAGACCTTCGTTCATCTTCAGAACACAAGTTAAAGGAGACATATTATGCCCTTTTTACAATATGTAATATAAGTCTCAGGGGTCCCCAGAATGTGTCTGTGAAGTTTCAGCTCAAAATACCCCACAGACCATTTATTATATCATTTTGAAAATGCCTATTTTGAGTGGAAGCAGAAACACGCTGTTTTTCGTGCCTGTCTCTTTAAATGCAAATGAGATGCTGCTGTTCCCCGCCCCCTTTTCCAGAATAGAGCTGCCATTACAGCTTGGACCTGCTAAAAACATCTGTTATGGTTCTGATTATCATGTTTAGCGTGCTGAAATCATGCGTTTTAAACCATCTGAGTTTAAACTTCAGATATACAGTTTTCTGAGCGCACACATCCGAAGCACACGCACAGAAAGCGGCTGTCACAGCATGCGAGTACTAAACTAAGCTCTCATTCACACACAAGTTTGTCAAAAACCACACGAGTTACAAAAACATTCGGTTATGTCTGTGAAGGTTTTAGATCTGTGCGGCAGCAGCAATATACAGTAAATAAATCAATAAATGCACTGCTGTCTCGTCTCCTCTGAGGCTGGGACCCTAAACCGTGTTCTGTGCTCGTCTGTGCAGCCAAACACAGAGCAGTTAGCATGCTTTGCTCAAACTTTCATCATGGCCTAAACCGTGTTCTGTGCTCGTCTGTGCAGCCAAACACAGAACAGTTAGCATGCTTTGCTCAAACTTTCATCATGGCATTGTACAGAGCTGGTACACCGGTGTCGCTTGCTAAATCAAATGACGGCGCCGTGAGTGGAAACGTGCAGATTAAGGGGCGGTGATATTATAATAAGATCCCTTTGCAACGTCACCAAAGAGAGCGAAATCAGACGCGCTGGTTTTCTCAGACGCTTGCAGAAAAAGGCTTCCCAAAACAAAGTTACTGGGTTAATCTTTTTCATGTTTCCTTGATTGGTAGATACACCAGGGACCTGATTATAGCACTTAAAACCTGGAAAAGTCAGATTTTCATGATATGTCACCTTTAAGATATTTTTGATGAAATCTGAGGGCTCTCTGACCCTCCCATAGACAGCAAGGTAACTTCCACGTTCAAGGTCCAGAAAAGTACCAAGATGATCGACAAAGTAGTGCGTGTGCCATCAGTGGTTCAACTGTAAAGTTACGAAGCTACGAGAATACTTTTTTTGTGCAAAGAAAACCAAAATAACGACTTTATTCCACATTTTTGGGAACTTTTCTGGACCTTGAATGTGGTAGTTACCTTGCTGTCTATGGGAGGGTCACAGAGCCCTCATATTTCATCAAGAATATCTTAATTTGTGTTCTGAGGATGAACGGAGGTCTTACGGGTTTGGAACAACACGAGGGTGAGTAATTAATGACAGAATTTTCATTTTTGGGTGAACTATTCCTTTAATAATGACAAACGAGACACAAAATAGCTGCAAATAAATGAAAAACATTACAGTTGACACTGGTTAATCAGCCAATCAGATGTGTTTGATGAGCCTGTCATGCAACATTACCAATCGTCCTAATGCAGAGCAATATATTGTCATGCTGTTGACTGTTGTCATGCATTGTCCATGTTTTTATTGCATCACGAAAGCGCTCTCGCTCTCTCTTTAGCAAGTCTGGATTCCTCGTTCACAGGAACTGAGAGAGAAAGCCTTGAGCATCATGAAACCGCCTGAGATCCGGAGCACAAAAGTCCGAGCACAGCCAATCCTTCCTGTTTTCATCCAGCATTGGTCTGACTAACACAACACAAGCGTCATCCGTGCGAGATCTCGAAGAATCCAGATGTCAGAGCTGATTCATCTCCATTCATTTCTTGAGCAACACACTCCGGACGAGCTGCGAGGAATGCTTTTTCTTCTGCTTTTCATATTCATATATCACTCACATGCTGGATACTGGACTGTGAGGTCAAATCAGATAAACAACTCTTTTGTGTTATCCTGAATGTATTTATTTAGCTAAATAAATGCCGTATGTGGACTTCAAATATTTATTTTAGTTGAAACGATCATATTCTGCGGAAAAAGAGAGAGCTCAGGCTGGTTTCATTGTTGGATTTTATTTTTTAAATGTGTCCCTGCAGCACAAAAGCAGTGTTGAGTCGCTGGGGGATATTCTCGCTGGGTCAAAATTATAGATTTTTCTTTTATGCCAAAAATCATTAGGATATTAAGTAAAGATCATGTTCCATGAAGATATTTTGTAAATCTCCTACTGTAAATATATCAAAACTTAATGTTTGATTAGTAATATGCATTGCTAAGAACTTCATTTGGACAACTTTAAAGATTATTTTCTCAATATTTAGATTTTTTTGCACCCTCAGATTCCAGATTTTCAAATATTGTCCGATCCTAACAAACCACACATCAATGGAGAGATGATTTGTTCAGCTTTCAGGTGATGTATACATCTCAATTTTAAAAAAATTGACCCTTATGACTGGTTTTGTGGTCCAGGGTCACAAATAATTGTATCATATATTATAAATAAACATTTATTTTATTTTTATATATTATATTTATATAACTTTATAACAGCCGTATATTAATATTTATATTAAATTGTCTATTAAATACTTTTTATAAATAATTTATTATGAAAGTTTTATATGTATATTTATTATATGATCATATATATATTATTTTTTTTATAATATTATTTTTATTACATTTTCTTGAAACACAAGACTGACACATGTACATACCGTGTCTGTAACAATACTTACTATGTCCAGAAAAGAAAAGAAAACAAACACCAGGGACTCATATTACATAAAAAGTGTAAAGCACAAAACCAACAAAGGGTTAATACAGTCGGTACTTTGGAAGTTAGATTTAATAATCCATTGCAAACAATAACAACCGCAGTTGTAAGGGGTTAATATAATGCACATTTAAATATATTTAAATACCCAATCAAGAATTTTGATCCTCTATTATATTGTTAATATCCCTACATTCAATAAATAATAAAATATATTAACATTTAGAATTATAACTTATTATAAATGGATGTTGTTTTTGTATTATATATAAAAAATATATAAAACAACATCCATTTATAATATATTCTAATTATAAATATGAATATGTACATTTATATTCATTCATAAAAATATATTTTAATGATTGTCTGTCTTAAATATTTTTTTATAATGGTCATATTTTATATATATATATATATATAACCTTTATATTAATTTATTATATTTCTATATATTATATTTTTATGGTAACGTTGTATTATATACACACATATTATATATATATGTGTTATACATACACATATATATATAATATTTATATATTTTACTATACATGATCTTTTTATAACAGTCTGTCTTTTCCACTGTCGTCCTCCTCCAGAAATGTTCATGTTTAGACTCAAGGGGCTTTTCTGCGTAACAGACACACAAAATGCTACAACTTCCCTCTGCATCTCATTAGTCTCTAAATGTTTCCCATCATGCCAAAAATACAGAGGCAGGCAAATGTCTGTGGATCAGAATCGAGAGCAGAGTCCCTGAAGCTTGATGAACATTTAACAGTGACGCCGCCGCAGGAGCACAGACTCTGAGCCCAACAGAAGAGCGTTACCTGTCTGCGGCCCTAATAATGAGGAAGTGATGCGGTTCAGACACTTAACGACCGCGCACTGTTAAACTCCACATTCGTTTATTTAATGATTAGAACATCAGAGATGAATTAAAATCAACACTTATCCAGAAATCAAACTGCCTGATGACTGAAATAAAGCCAATAGCATACAACAAAAAATTAGACATGCACGCAGTTTCTTATGAAAGCACATTTCTACGACAGAATTAAAAAATTACAACAGGAGTTGCGACTTTAAATCTCACAATTCTGATTTTTTTATCAGAATTGCATGTTATAAAGTCAGAAATGCGAGATTTAAACTCGCAATTTTGAGAAACAAAGTTGCTATTCTAAATATATAAATTCAGCTTTCTTTCCTCAGAATCACAGAACAGCTTTTATCTCACAATTCTGACTTTATAATACAATGTGCAATTTATTCATGTATGCAATTGTGAGTCAGTATTGTGAGAAATAAACTCGCAATCGTCTTTTTCCCCTCAGAACTGCACTTTATAGCTCGCATCAATGCTAGATATAAACTCGCAATTCTGAGAAATAAAGTCACCGCTGCATGCTATAAACGAGAAAAAAAATCTCACAATTCGGACTTTATTTCTTGTGACTGTGACTTTAAATCCCACAATTCTGACTTTTCTTAATTGCAAGTTCATATCTCACAATTCAGAGAAAAAAAAGTAAGAAGTAGGGTATGCATGCACGATAAATCGAAATGGAATCGAGATCGCGATTCGACAGAAGCTGTGATTGTCGTGCGTATCTTTCAGTGAAGCACGGTTCTGCGATCAGCAGTAAATCTCCATCTGAAGGCCAGAGAAACTCCAAATACGCCTCGCAGAAGAAACCCAGAAAATGCCTATCGCTGCGGCTGAATAAACAGAAGATTCAACTGCTTTCATTGATTCAACGTGACTAATAAACACACGACTACGGCAATATACGGTTTATCTGAGTTCTTATTATTATAATTTTCATTAAAATAAAGTATATTTATAATGCAATGCCTTTATCACTGCTTAAATACTATGAAATATGTTGCGTGTCTTATTCTGTGTAAGAAGCCACATCTCACAGAAGGATTTATTTCAAACACTCGACTGACGTTATGAAGTGAGTTTGGAGTAAAAACATGTTATTAAATGTGGTATTTTCACATGCTTTCAGATGGAGCAGCATTTACTTCACAGAGCCGTAGTTCACTGAGAAGCTATGCAAACAGCTGTCATTATCACCAACGATTTCATAATCGTGCAATAAAATCGTCTGTGATTTTTTTTGCGTAGCTTGTCAGTGAACTACGGCTCTGTGAAGTAAATGCTGCTCCATCTGAAAGCACGTGATGATGATCTCCTGCTGATTACAGAACCGGCTTTACTAACATTTCTACTAGCTTTTCGCATTCGATTAATCGTGCAGCCCTAATAAGAATTGCAAGATAAAAAGTCGCAATTACCTGTTTTTATTTTTTATTCAGTGGCGGAAACGGGCTTCCATAGTTTCAACACCTAATATGTGACCACAAACCAGTCATAAGAGTCCATTTTTTAAAATTGAGATGTATACATCTTCTGAAAGCTAATAAATACGCTTTCCATTGATGTATGGTTTGTTAGGATCGGACAATATTTGGCCGAGATGCAACTATTTGAAAATCTGGAATCTGAGGGTGCAAAAAAATCTAAATATTGAGAAAATCATCTTTAAAGTTGTTCAAATGAAGTTCGTAGCAATGCATATTACTAATCAAAAATGAAGTTTTGATATATTTACGGTAGGAAATGTACAAAATATCTTCATGGAACATGATCTTTACTTAATATCCTAATGATTTTTGGCATAAAAGAGAAATGTATAATTGTGACCCATACAATGTATTGTTGGCTATTGCTACAAATATCCCCCAGCGACTTAACACTGCTTTTGTGCTCCAGTGTCACATATTTACGATATTAAAAAAAAAGGGACGGGAGAATCTGTAGATATGTTTATCTGCCAAAGCAGATCATCTCAAAATTAGCTGGTGATTAATTGGCCTGCCTGATATATCACTCTTAATATGCATATATCAGCAGCATGTCTGGTGCAAAAAAGGCAAAGCTTTAATGAGCAGAAGAACACCACCATCTCCATGACTTCAAGCACGGAGGTGGAGCTGTTTAGAAATCTCGCCTGTATGAAGAGCATCATGGATTCATTGAAATATCAGGCTATTTTGGCAAAGATTGTGGTGCCTTCGGTGCAGAGACGCTTGATCGATGGCCTTTCCCGCAGGACAGCCTCTCAAAGTACTACTTAAAGGGACAGTTCACCCAAAAATAAAGCTCCTGTCATCATTTGCTCATCCATCAAACCTGTATGAGTTTCTTTATCTGGAAGAAAGTCGGTATCCATTGACTTCCATAGTATTTTTTCCCCCTACTATTGAAGTCAATGGCTACCATCAGCTGTTTGGTTACCAACATTCTTCCAAATGTAGATTTCTGGGTGAACTATCTCTTTAAAGGATTAGTTCACTTCCAGAAGGAAGTTTTTGAACAGTAAGATTTTTAAATGTTTTTTTCTTCAAATGTTTTTTTCAACATTCTTTAAATGTTCAAAAATACAGTAAAATTGTGAAATATTTTTACTATTTAAAATAACTGTTTTCTATGTGAATATCTGTTAAACTGTAATTTATTTCTGTGATCAAAGCTGTATTTTCAGCATCATTACTACCAGAGTCACGTGATCTTCAGAAATCAGTCTAATATGCTGATCTGCTGCTCGAGAAACATTTCTGATTATTATCAGTGTTGAGAACAGTTGTGCCGCCGCTATATATGTTTCACCCCCCATCACAGCCTCGCATGCACGCAGATAAAGACAGTAAAGCAGGTAATCGTGCAGTGAGTGTGCTTCACTGACCCAGGTACAGCACGGTGGGGATGAAGCCCCAGCGGATGATGAACTGGCCGCACTGGAACACCTGCTGCAGCCGCTGCTTGCTCTCTTTGCTCAGTTTGGCCATCATTTCACTCAGATTTACTCAAAGATCGTCTCTGGATGCGACGCGGAGCGGTGAAGGACATGGAAGAGCGCAGGAAGCACGTGTGTGCCGTAAAGTGTGCGGCGGTGGCGGCGTTACTGCGGCTACAGCTTTGCGACAGTCGCAAAAAAAAGCGCCACGCTGACATCTAGTGGCCACAAAGGGGACTTCAGGACACCAGCAGTTGACAAAGTGGAAAATATTTTTATTTTACTTTACTTTACTTTACTTTACTTTACTTTACTTTACTATTATTTTATTTTACTTTGTTATTAATGAAAAAATGTGTCATTAATACTAAATTAAATATTATATATAAATGTAGGCATTTTGACAATTTACTTGAATTGCTGAATAATGAAAGACAATTAAAATAAAATCCTAGTTAAACAGATGTTTTAATAACGCCATTTTATTTTGCTTTATGAAAAATGCATCTTTAATCCTAAATTAAATATTATATATAAATGTATGCACTTTGACAATTTACTTGAATTACTGAGAAATGAAAGGCTAATAAAATGTCAAAATCCCAGAAAAACAGATATATTTTAATTATACTGTTACAGAATAAAGGCTGTAATTAAAGCAAAAGGTGCTTCAACAAAATACTGATCCTTTTTTCAACTCAGTGATTTTTTAAATAGTATTGTATTTTATTTTTCCTGACATGCTGGTGTTTTATCTTTCACTTGGATGTTATAAGTTGCTGCACTTTGACAATTTACTTGAATTACTGAGAAATGAAAGGCTAATAAAATGTCAAAATCCCAGAAAAACAGATATATTTTAATTATACGGTTACAGAATAAAGGCTGTAATTAAAGCAAAAGGTGCTTCAACAAAATACTGATCCTTTTTTCAACTCAGTGATTTTTTAAATAGTATTGTATTTTATTTTTCCTGACATGCTGGTGTTTTATCTTTCACTTGGATGTTATAAGTTGCACTGATTAAATACAGCTGGATAAAACTAAAACTGTGTCCGCCTTCATTTCAGGCTGCAAAGCAACAAAATTATTAAAAAAAAATTATTTCACATAAAGGAGGTGATTCTTTTCTATACTTGCTGTATATTACACGCTTGAAAAATTGCATCTAATTCAAATAATTAAATATTAACGGTCTTACTTAAAGAACTAATAACCCTTCAAAATAAGGGTCTCACGTTAAAGGTGGGGTAAGTGATTTCTGGTAGCCAATGTTGACATTTGAAATCACCAAAAAAACACGCCCCTACTGATTAAATACAGCTGGATAAAACTAAAACTGTGTCCGCCTTCATTTCAGGCTGCAAAGCAACAAAATTATAAAAAAAAAATTATTTCACATAAAGGAGGTGATTCTTTTCTATACTTGCTGTATATTACACGCTTGAAAAATTGCATCCAATTCAAATAATTAAATATTAACGGTCTTACTTAAAGAACTAATAACCCTTCAAAATAAGGGTCTCACGTTAAAGGTGGGGTAAGTGATTTCTGGTAGCCATGACATTTGAAATCACCAAAAAAACACGCCCCTATTTTGATAGCTCCGCCCCACACATACGTACGCAACCCAGGCAACGATTAATAAACAAAGCAAAACCAATGTTACACTGTGTCGACAAAATACTATGAAACGCATTATAATCAATGATGCTGTCTACACCATAGATATATATATATATATTAACTATGGTCTACACTGGATACACATGACACGAGAAATCCCCGACAGAAAACTGCTGCTGCGTTCTATTCATGACGTACTGACACAAATTCCAAATGATTTTCAACACTCGCAGTGTACTAGACAGACTTTAGCTGTTGCGGCGCAGACACGGCGTTACTCACCTATCGAGAAGAAACGCTCCGCTCCTTGAGTTCTCTCCAGCGCTGGAAAGCTGATCCGAAATTTACACGGGTCCTACGTCTTGCCTTAAGCCTTCTTTAGTTCCTCAGACGTTTTCCTCTTTTGTCTTTTATCCGCCATCTCTATCTCTCCGTCGCTGGGCTCGGCTAATGTCCGTCCTGTGCACTGAACTCTCTCTCCTCCACATCACGAGTAGACACGCCCCTTACTGCTGATTGGCTACAAGTTTGTTTTGGTACTCGGCCCGACTCAGTTTTCTAAAGCGCTTTTGAAAAATCTCTTACCCCACCTTTAACTTACCATTACAAATTAAAAGCATGTTTACCCTACAAATTTTAATTAATGACCATGTCCTCAAATCCCTGATTAACAAAGACTTTTAATATAAAAGAATAAATCCATAAAATAAATTCAGAGGTCAGTATTGTTTAACGACAAAAGTTGAATGATTTAATCTCAAAACGCTTTAAACAGAAAGAAAAAAAATGATCGGCATTGAGTTTTTGAAATTAAAAGGTACTCGGTAAAACAATAATAAAGATTGTTTTCTTGCTATTTCAAAATCCAGTCACGCTGAAATAGAAATGTTTATTTTCAGAGACTGTAACCATGTTCCTTTTTTTTGACGAAATGACTTCAGTACAATAATATTTACTATTCACATTCTGCAAATGATCTGAGCACAGACACGAGCACGGTTAATGAGGGTCCACTTCAAATTAAAAACACAAACCTTTATGAGCAGAAAACATCTTCAAAAACATCATCCTAAAAGAGAAAACAATAAAACCAGACAAGTACTGGTGCAAAAGCACAGTGCCGCACCAATAAAAGAAGAAAAATCTATTCATTTTTAAATCAAGAAATGATTTGTGGCTTATAATCACACTCTGCCGTAGTGACACATCAGCAGCTGGTTAACTATTACCAGTTTAACCACCGACACTAACCCGCCCGCCTCCTGTGCCAAAGCATCTCTTACGGCCTCACATACAGCAATTCAATTAATAACCATATTGCTTTAGAAACACCATGAAAAATGAAGACGACTCTTGTTTTGGTCTGATTTCCACAGGATTTTCCACGCAGGTTTGTAATCAAGCACACAAATTCCCATGAAAACTGTGAAAGGATGGCTTCGGTTCGAGCCCAGTGCATGCTGGGATACGCGGAGAAGAGAACCTGCAGTTTTCACACACGTGAGTCACTCGAATCGTCATAAAAAATACACAACATCTGACTTCGCAAGGATCTTTTAAAAACACTTAAAAAATACATGACTTTGGTAATCAATCACGATTGACGGAAACAAAAAAACCGACGGGAAAAACAAAATGGACTTCCTGTAAGGTGCTGCAGTTTCCTGCCACCAGGTGGCAGCAGTGAGCGTCTCCGTTTAGGGTCACAGGTCAGAGGTCACGTGGATACTGATGGTGGGCGAGCGCTGCCGGGGCTGGTGGGCGGGGCTTAGGTGTTCCAAATAAGCCACGCCCCCGTGGTCCACTTCTGCGACGTGATTGGAGGCGAGGACGTTGCTGACCTGCTCGAAGGAGCGCGAGAAGACGGCGCTGGCGGTGCGTGACAGACTCAACGAGCCGCTCTTGGGCACTGATTGGCTGGCGGTCAGCGTCAGGCGTTTGAGTGACAGCAGCTCCAGGTTCTCGCTCAAGGCGCGGACGGTGGGCTGTTTGTGTGTCAGCTGATCCATGCTGGAGGCTGCTTCCTTGTCCTTGTCTTTGCTGGAGCGGCCCGTCAGGCGGCGCAGGCCCTTCCCGCTCAGTCTCCCGCCGCCGCCGCCGCTGCTGATCACGATGCTCGGAGCGGTGGACGTCTGCGTGCAGATGCCCTCGTCCACCTCGGCGATCTCCGTCAGCTCATCCGGGGAACCCAAATCCACTGCGTCTGCGGCGGAGAGAGAGAGAGAGAGAGAGAGAGAAGAACGGCTCAGAGCTGTGGAGTGTTTCATGTTTTTGAAAGAGTCTCTTCTGCTCGCAGAGGCTGCATTTATTTGATCAGAAATACAGCAAAAGCAGTAAAATTATGAAATATTATTACTATAAATATTATAGTAATTTATTCCTGTGATGCGCAGCTGTATTTTCAGCATCATTACTCCAGTCTTCAGTGTCAAATGATCTTCAGAAATCAGTATATATATTTTTGTGGACAATTTTTTATTTTTATTTTTTTTACATTTAATGTGGCAGTAAAGACATTTATAATGTTACAAAAGATTGTATTTCAAACAAATGCTGCTCTTTTGAACTTTGTTCATCTGTGAATCCTGAAAAATAAAATGTATCAGTTTCCACAAAAATATTGTGCAGCACGACTGTTGATAATAATCAGAAATGTTTCTTGAGCAGCAAATCAGCATATTAGACTGATTTCTGAAGATCATGTGACACTGAAGACTGGAGTTATGATGCTGAAAATACAGCTTTGATCACAGAAATAAATTACATTTTAACATATATTCACATAGAAAACAGCTATTTTAAATTCTAATAATATTTCACAATTTTACAGTTTTTACTGTATTTTTGATCAAATAAATGCAGCCTCTGCGAGCAGAAGAGACTTCTTTCAAAAGCATTACAAAAAATGTAATTCCAAACATTTGACTGGTAGTGCATGTATTATTATTATTATTATTATTACTGTTATAGGTTCAATCTCACAAAGAAATATCCAGGTCATATTTCACCACAAAAAAAAAAAATAATAATACAAATAAATAAATTAATGTATTAACATTTGGGAATCCCAGTTGTAAAGTGAAAAACTCAATCTTAATGTAATTATAAAACTGTAATACAATAATGAAAATAAAAGGTCAAAAAACTTATTAAAATTATTATAACAAATACTACTATTATTAGCACTTACTCTACTTTCTCCACATTAAAATTTTATAGTAATGTGATTTCGGGGGAAATTTGCTTAATTATGCACTTTTTATACACAATTATACACACAAAAAAAAAGATTTTTTGTGAGATTCACCTAATAAGATTAATTTTGCATTCATTTTTAATTGCATTTATTTTTGTTTTGTTAACAAGCAGCCGATTTCAGAATCAGGGATGTAGAAATGTACATGAATGTTTCCAGAAAATGCAACAAAATCATATTTAAGCAGGTCAGACAGATGAAGATACACCAACACCAGACCTCAAACTCTACTGTAAGAGCGTTTCAGGGAAATAAAGGACCGTGTGCGAGCAGAGCAAGCTGTTGGGATGTTTGTAGCGAAGAGGAAGGAGTTATGCAACGAACTAGAAGAGAAATACAGACTGACAGGAAGTTCAGATGAGATGCATAATATATGCCAACCGTATTAGTAATGGGCAGCATTTGTGGACTAGTTCATGCACACTTAATATTGGTTATCAGATGCATCACTTCCTGTCAGTCTGTCTTGTCCAAAGGGAAGTTGGCAAGCCAGCGGAGAAGTGTCAGGAAAGGGCTTTTCACCGCGCAGCTCATCTCCATAACCACTTAGCTGTGAGTTAATGTGAAGAGACGGAAGAAAACAGAAGGACGAATGCGACAGGAACAGACGTGAGTCAAGGGTCATTCACAGAGTTGAGCTGATGATTTCTGGACACTGTTAATAACTCATAAGAGTCCCAGCTCTATCCACCACATTACTGATATAATGCTGATCACCACAATAAAACATTTCGATTTGTCCCCAAGTAAAAAAAATTATTACATTCTAATTACAACGTATAATACTTATTATTATTATAAAATTACTATAAACAAAATATATAAACAGTGCTTTTATAATAACTATATATTTTATAATAAAATTATAATATAGTAATATGTAATCAAATATTTTGATTTGTCCCTACAAATCAAAATAAATAATACATTCAAATAATAATTATAATTGTATGTAATTATAATGACAACATATAATAATAATTATTATTATTATTATTACTATTATTATTATATGTTATTTAAATAATAATTATAATTTTATTAGAATATATTAATAAAATTTAAATGTATTATTTACATTTTAAATAATATTTATATCTAATTACAATATATAATTTAACACAATAATATACATAATTATAATAAAATAATAATACAGTAATATATGTAACAACATATGTAAATATTTATAATTATATCTAATTACAATATATAATAATTTAATATAATAATATAAAATAATGTAGTATAACAATAATAATATAAATAACAATACACGGTATATTTATATATAGTATATATATATATATACACAGTGCTTATATAATAATGATGTATAATTATAACGAATATGATAATTTTGTCAATAACTTTTTTGTATATTAAAATTATAAGGACAAATTTAAACATGCAACGTTATAAAAATTATAAAATATTTGCATATTGTTTATGCATATTTAAGTACATATAAAATAATATGCATATAAATATTGTTGTTGCAAGGAAATTTTCCACGTAGATACACATAATCAGAAGACCATCCGTCACATTTGGGCTTTCACATTCACTACAAATACTTTGTAGAAACGTAACGTACAAGCTGATTTGCTGTGGTAATGAACAGTCACTAATGCTGTAGACAGAGCTTTACCTCTGAACCAGACATATTCCTTCAGGAAAAAGCAAAAGCAAAGCCTCATACTGAGAAGAAATCCCCTAGACGCTGTTACTTAGCGTTTACATCTCATTAATAATTAACAAGCTTATCAAGAAGCTCCGCCCACACCAAGTACCTCTGGGCCCGAGGGAGAGGGGAGGGGTGTGTGAGACGAGGGGTGGGTGGGGCTCTAGAACTGAACCCGCCCCGCAGACTTCTGCCTCCTGACCTCTTGACCTCTAGGGTCGACCACCACCTCTGTGGCGCCCCCTAGCGCCTCCCCCTCCGTCCTGCTGCGAAGAGCCTCTCCGTTGAGCAGCCGCTCGCCGCTGACCCCTGTTACACTAATCTCAGGGATGGGCCCCGTCACGCAGGAGTCAGGGGACTCTACACTGTCCTCCTGAGACTCTGAGACACACACACACACACACACACACACACACACACACGGACACATGCATGACGAGAGGCTGAAACATCTCAAGACAAACATAAACACTTCAAAATTATAACATGAAAATGGACACAGATGACAATGAAATGAAAGCGACTCCTTCCCATCGAAAGTGATGCTACTTTGAATTATATTATTATACTAAAATATTAGAAAATTATATTTAAATCATATATTATTTTTAATAATTATAATGAAGTTATTATTATAAAATATATTATAATTAATATTATTTAAATTACATTGTTATAATATAAAATATTGTATCATAATTCTACTATATCATAATATTTTAAAAATAATAAAATATTTTATAATAACTATCATAATATTATAATCCTATAGTGGTTTAATAAAATATAATTATTTTATATTTCAATGTAATATATAATTATTATGATAAAATATGACACTAAAATGATATTGCTATAATATAATATTTTATCATAATGATATTATTATAATATTACCTATAATATTCCGTAATAACCATATATTGTAATAAACCTATATTGATTTAATAAAATAAAATAAAATATATTATATATAAATATATATTTAGTTATGATAAAACAAAAGTGAATATTATATAATTATATTATAAAAAATTATACTATGTCCTCCTGAGACTCTGAGACACACACACACACACACACACACACACACACACGGACACATGCATGACGAGAGGCTGAAACGTCTCAAGACAAACATAAACACTTCAAAATTATAACATGAAAATGGACACAGATGACAATGAAATGAAAGCGACTCCTTCCCATCGAAAGTGATGCTACTTTGAATTATATTATTATACTAAAATATTAGAAAATTATATTTAAATCATATATTATTTTTAATAATTATAATGAAGTTATTATTATAAAATATATTATAATTAATATTATTTAAATTACATTGTTATAATATAAAATATTGTATCATAATTCTACTATATCATAATATTTTAAAAATAATAAAATATTTTATAATAACTATCATAATATTATAATCCTATAGTGGTTTAATAAAATATAATTATTTTATATTTCAATGTAATATATAATTATTATGATAAAATATGACACTAAAATGATATTGCTATAATATAATATTTTATCATAATGATATTATTATAATATTACCTATAATATTCCGTAATAACCATATATTGTAATAAACCTATATTGATTTAATAAAATAAAATAAAATATATTATATATATATATTTAGTTATGATAAAACAAAAGTGAATATTATATAATTATATTATAAAAAATTATACTATAATTAATATTACAATTAAGTGATTTAATAAAATAGAATTATATTTCATTGCGAAATGGTTAAAATTAACATTATAATTATATTATAAAATGACACTATAATTAATATTGCAATTAAATTATATTGTTATAATATATTTGATCACAACATTATAAATATATTTTACAATAACTACATAAATATAAAAAATTGTTATTTAATAAAATAATTATTTCACATTTCCTTATAACATATAGTAAAATTATAAAACGTTACAATGAATATTACATCTAAATTACATTACAAAATATAATTATTATATATTAATATGTTATGATATTACATTATTGATAGAATTATGTTTTAATAATGTTTAAATGTTAAATAATTATACGACTATTAATATAAAATATTATAATACAATTACATTATTATTAATATAATTATAAAATACAACTGTTATTCTGCACTAACTATATTTTAATCCTAATAAATGTAAATCCAATTTAACATGCACTTTATATTATGAAAAACTTGACTCAACCGAACAAAAAGACTCAAAACAAAACAAAAGTAAATCTAATATTATAAAACCTATAGTTCTGATTTCTTAAGTAGTAAGCCGTATGATTTGAGACATCATCTGTAGCACAAATGCTTCACACGGTTAGTGAGATGATTTAGACAGCAAACGTGTAAAATATAGTAATGGTGACGCCTGCCTCAGCGGACCCCACTAATGAGTGCGTTTGCTGCTTAATTATGGTTGACGAACAGAAACCCCTTCATTACGTCTGAAATGACTGAGTGCTAATTAGTCAGATGGTGATGGGCTCCGGAGCGCCACGTCAAAGCGCACAGCTGGAAACCTGTGCCAAACGCGTCACATCAGCAATATCATTAATGTTAGCAGGAATCCCGCTCCGCCCGAGTCGAGGGAAAACCCCCGCAGGGTCTTGAATAATTTTTTTTATTAAAATATCCAAAAACCACTAAAACAGTGTTATATATTTTGCCAACTCGTGTACTTGCATTATCCCAAATGTTTCGAAGGATGTTTAAATCCAGAGAAATAAGCAATTTTAACTAGTGACACGGACCGTGTCTATAGTGTCATTGTGTCGCCTGCCAATGACGTCATAACCCCTCGACTTCCGGTTTTGTTTTGTAGAAAACATGGAAACCCCAAAGACACTTTAATATGTTGTTCGTTTTAATAGACCGGTGACGACCGCACAGAGTAGCATTATAACAGAACTTTCAAATGCATCTAGTATGATAAAACAGCGCTGCTTTACCCCACATACACACGACCGGAAGCAGCGGAAGCGCTCGACTGTGGCATAATAAAAGCTCCGCTGCTTTACCCCACATACGCATGACTGGAAGGAGCGGAAGCGGTCGACTGTGGCATAATAAAAGCTCCGCTGCTTTACCCCACATACGCATGACTGGAAGGAGCGGAAGCGGTCGACTGTGGCATAATAAAAGCTCCGCTGCTTTACCCCACATACGCACGACCGGAAGCAGCGGAAGTGTTCGACTGTGGCATAATAAAAGCTCCGCTGCTTTACCCCACATACGCACGACCGGAAGCAGCGGAAGCGGTTGACTGTGGCATAATAAAAGCTCTGCTGCTTTCGGCCCGTGTGTTGCACTCGTTCAGCACCTCGTTTCACTTCGAAGGCTTTCAGCCTCACCCTGCTTCATTCTACTATGTTAATAAATCATTAGCTCATCCATGAACATGATTTCTGCCCGAGTCCCGTCGGATTGCGTCGGCTGTGGGGATGAAGACCACAACTCCCATGATTCCACACTCAGTCACAGCGTCATCTAACTACGCCTTTGTCTCTTTTTGTGTTTTGAATAGTCACCCTCCAGTGGCGATACTACGTGGGCGTCTACAAAAAGTGAGAGTCGCCATGGCAACCGTCTCCTCACCGTGGCGTTTCCAGCGGTGTCCGCGGATGGACAAGCTGGTGACGGCGTTGCGGGAGATGCGGGGGACCGTGGGTGTGATCTCCACCTGGATGGAGCGGGTTCCCTCTTTATTGGCCTTCAGAGACGCCCCGTGGAGAGACGACTTGATGGCGTTTCCAACCTGAGCGAGAGTCAGACTTTAGAACAAGACAGAGCTGAGAAATCTTTTGTCTGGTATATGTGCACCACAAAACCAGTCTGAAGTTGCTAGGGTATATTTGTAGCAATAGCCAAAAATACATTTTATGAGTGAAAATTATTGATATTTCTTTTATGCCAAAAATCATTAGGACATTAAGTAAAGATCATGGAAATCATATCAAGATCATGTATTGAAGATATTTTGTAAATTTCCTACCGTAAATATATCAAAACTTAATTTTTGATTAATAATATGCATTGCTAAGAACTTCATTTGGACAACTTTAAAGGCGATTTTCTCGATATTTCGATTTTTTTGCACCCTCAGTTTCCAGATTTTCAAATAGTTGTATCTCAGCCAAATATTGTCATATCCTAATAACACACCACACATCAATGGAAAGCTTATTTATTCAGCTTTCAGATAATTTATAAATCTCAATTTCGATTAAGGCTGGTTTTGTGGTCCAGGGTCACATATATTCCCAGAAGTATTCAAAGCATTATTCGATATTACATACAAATAGTTGCACATTTTTGGATAAGAAATGAACATGTAACACTTTTTATAAGTAGTTATAAATCTTTCAATTAAACTACTGCTTTTAATATTATAAATATATATATATATATATATATATAATATAATTATATAAAAACAATTGTATATAAATTAATTACATGATTCATATTTAAAGACAGCTGCAAGTTACGTTGCAAATCCATATATAATAAATTAATACAAATATAGAATAATATAGAATTACAGAATTAAAACAGATGTAATATATTATGTATACACACATTTCCAACTGTTATATAATTTGCAGCCGTTTTATTTTGTAATAATTCATAATTTATTTTAATAAAACTAATACAATTCTAAATATAGAATTTATTTTTAAAAATTGTATAAAAAGTAATTATGATTAATATTTCACAGATCGTTGCAAGTTACCATTTGCAAAATTGTTATAAATCATATAATAATATAATACAAATACTTATATATGATATATTCAATTTTGAAACATGTTATTTGCAACAGTTTGTACACATTATAAATCATAATTACTTTTGATAAAACTAATACAATTCTAAATATTATATATTTTTTTAATGTATAAAATTAATTTATGACTCATAATTTACAGACAGTTGAAAGTTAACAATTGCACAATTGATATAAATTGCATATAATAAATTAATACAAATAGATGTATATAATTTCATATAATTTTAATATTTTATATAATTTTGCAGTTTATGTTATTTGCAACTTTTGGCATATTGTTATAAATCATGATTACTTTTAATAAAACTAATATTCTAAATATACAATTTTATTTAAAAAACTTTTCAAAAATGTAAATATAAACATTTAAATATACTTTATATAAATATGTAACTAAAATAATCAATATGTACTGTATATAAAATCATATCAATATATAATCAAACCAGACTATTTTAATGCACCAGATTAAGGTTCATTATCAAATCAAATCATTGTCAGAGTCAGTGTTTACTCCTCTAAGCATGTCTAATTCCTGCTCTTTGGCTTGTTCTTGTGGTGTTGTGAGTGCTTGTGTTTGTCACAGTGCTGCAGTTGGTCATTCTAACAGGACCAGTGAGTGAATCTGAGAAATGCTGGTAATCGCGGTGCTTTCGCTGGATCAGTGTAATCTGTGCTGAAGCCTGAGCATGAAAACACACCAGCAGGGCTTCTGGGTAGAGCTCCAGCTGCGCTCGGTACAACACATCATCCAGAGCCCTCGAGCCCATCTCCACCTCACCGTTACACCTGCACACACACAGAAACACAGACACACACACTCACCCACACACACACACACACAGAGACAGACAGACACACACACACACACACACACACACAGAGACAGACAGACACACACACACACTCACACACACACACAGAGACACACACACAGAGACACAGAGAGAGAGCCACACACACACACACACACACAGAGACACACACACAGAGACACAGAGAGAGAGCCACACACACACACACACACACAGAGACACACACACAGAGACACAGAGAGAGAGCCACACACACACACACACACACAGAGACACACACACAGAGACACAGAGAGAGAGCCACACACACACACACACACACAGAGACACACACACAGAGACACAGAGAGAGAGAGAGACACAGAGAGAGAGAGAGAGAGAGACAGAGACACACACACACGGAGACAGAGACACACAGACACACAGAGACGACACACACACACACACACACACACACACACACACACACAGAGTGAGAGAGACATTAAGTCTCAAGTTTGCCCATTAATAATATTTGTCATAATTTAGCCTCATGTCAATCAAAACCCAGATGGTGTTATTCATGGAACACAAAGGATTATTTATTTGATTATATTTTAATCAGCCAAATAGAGATGATTATTGGCAGATGCCGATCATCTCAGAATGGCTAAAAAATTGAATTCTTCAAATACTGAAGAATATTCTTGAACTTTAGATTTTTTTCCCACAAAAGTGACCACAGTGTCAAGATCCTTCAAAAAGATAATTTTGTGTATCACAAAAAAATAAAAAAATAAAAAACAATTAAGTAGAAAAAAATAATTACTAATATATATATATTTTTTTAATTATTTAAATAACTGTACAATTTTTGGAACTGACCAAACGGAATAACTTATTTTTAATCAGCCAAATGGAGATGATTATTGGCAGATTCTGATATTCATCTCAATTTGGCCAAATACTGGCCAATAATTTTTTTTCATACAAGTGTGTCCACATCTATCAGGATCCCAATAAAGATACTTTTGTGCTCCACAGAAAAATAATAATAATAATTATTATTATTATTACTATTATTTAGGGTTGAAAAAATATTATTTATATATATTATAAAAATATATATTACATTAAAAAAAGAACAAAAAACAATAATAAATATAAAACAACAATAATAGTAATCATTTGGGAACTGATACAAAAGGGAACCACTTATTTTGAATCAGTCAAATTGAAAATGATTCTGATCAAAGATCAAAATTAACTGGCCAAAAACTGACCAATTCATATTTGTGTTCCACAGAAAAAAATAAATAAATTATATATATATATATATAATAAAAAATATCTAGGTATACAGGGTTGGAATCTAATGATTTGAGTAAAAACTGAAAAAAATTTTTTATAACTATTTCTAAATTTGGGACCTGATACAAAAGGCAACAATTTAATTTCAACCAACTAAATGGAAATTATTATTAGCAGATGCTGATCATCTTAAGAACGGTTAATATTTGATTAATCTTTTTGCATACAGTGACCACATCTGTCAAGATCTTTCAAAAAGATCCTTTTGTGTTCCACTGGGGGGGAAAATAATTAATTAATTAATTAATAATAATAATAATAATAATAATAATAATAATAATAATAATAAATGAAAAACAAGGTATACAGACTTGAAACAAAATGATTGAGCAGAAAAATAAATGTATAATAATTAATAATCTATTCCTTTAGTAAACAGCTACCTAGTTTCACGTTGACCAGAACAGTCACGCTACAGAAGTGTGAATGATGATAATGATGTGGGCGGGGCATGTTTAGACCCGAGGCCACGCCCCCATCAGTCAATACCATAAATATGATAACAGAGACACACACACACGCAGACAGAGAGACACAGACACACAGAGACGACACACACACACACACACACACACACACACACACAGAGTGAGAGAGACATTAAGTCTCAAGTTTGCCCATTAATAATATTTGTCATAATTTAGCCTCATGTCAATCAAAACCCAGATGGTGTTATTCATGGAACACAAAGGATTATTTATTTGATTATATTTTAATCAGCCAAATAGAGATGATTATTGGCAGATGCCGATCATCTCAGAATGGCTAAAAAATTGAATTCTTCAAATACTGAAGAATATTCTTGAACTTTAGATTTTTTTCCCACAAAAGTGACCACAGTGTCAAGATCCTTCAAAAAGATAATTTTGTGTATCACAAAAAAATAAAAAAATAAAAAACAATTAAGTAGAAAAAAATAATTACTAATATATATATATTTTTTTAATTATTTAAATAACTGTACAATTTTTGGAACTGACCAAACGGAATAACTTATTTTTAATCAGCCAAATGGAGATGATTATTGGCAGATTCTGATATTCATCTCAATTTGGCCAAATACTGGCCAATAATTTTTTTTCATACAAGTGTGTCCACATCTATCAGGATCCCAATAAAGATACTTTTGTGCTCCACAGAAAAATAATAATAATAATTATTATTATTATTACTATTATTTAGGGTTGAAAAAATATTATTTATATATATTATAAAAATATATATTACATTAAAAAAAGAACAAAAAACAATAATAAATATAAAACAACAATAATAGTAATCATTTGGGAACTGATACAAAAGGGAACCACTTATTTTGAATCAGTCAAATTGAAAATGATTCTGATCAAAGATCAAAATTAACTGGCCAAAAACTGACCAATTCATATTTGTGTTCCACAGAAAAAAATAAATAAATTATATATATATATATATAATAAAAAATATCTAGGTATACAGGGTTGGAATCTAATGATTTGAGTAAAAACTGAAAAAAATTTTTTATAACTATTTCTAAATTTGGGACCTGATACAAAAGGCAACAATTTAATTTCAACCAACTAAATGGAAATTATTATTAGCAGATGCTGATCATCTTAAGAACGGTTAATATTTGATTAATCTTTTTGCATACAGTGACCACATCTGTCAAGATCTTTCAAAAAGATCCTTTTGTGTTCCACTGGGGGGGAAAATAATTAATTAATTAATTAATAATAATAATAATAATAATAATAATAATAATAATAATAATAAATGAAAAACAAGGTATACAGACTTGAAACAAAATGATTGAGCAGAAAAATAAATGTATAATAATTAATAATCTATTCCTTTAGTAAACAGCTACCTAGTTTCACGTTGACCAGAACAGTCACGCTACAGAAGTGTGAATGATGATAATGATGTGGGCGGGGCATGTTTAGACCCGAGGCCACGCCCCCATCAGTCAATACCATAAATATGATAATGATGTGGGCATGGCATGTTTAGACTCGAGGCCACGCCCCCATCAGTCAATCCCATAAAAATGTGAATGATGTGGGCGGGGCATGTTTAGACTCGAGGCCACGCCCCTTCAGTCAATCCCATAAATATGATAATGATGTGGGCATGGCATGTTTAGACTCGAGGCCACGCCCCCATCAGTCAATACCATAATATGATAATGATGTGGGCGGGGCATGTTTAGACTCGAGGCCACGCCCCCATCAGTCAATACCATAATATGATAATGATATGGCGACTTGAAGTTTAGACTCGAGGCCACGCCCCCATCAGTCAATCCCATAAAGATAATAGGTGCACCAAAATATGATAATGATGTGGGCGGGGCATGTTTAGACTCGAGGCCACGCCCCCATCAGTCAATCCCATAAAGATAATAGGTGCGTTCGACTTGAAGCACCGCTACAGACGGCAGTCAACGAGAGTAGCCGCTTGCAGTCGGGGGCGGAGGTGAAGACGGAGCCGTCAAGCCGGACACTTTCTGCTCCCGTTAGTGACGCTAGCACTGTGTTTGCATACTCTATCACAGATGAAGTGAATTAAATGCAATATTTGTCAGATACACAGACGTTTCAGAAACGTTTTCATGAGCAACAGAAACACTTTTTATATACTGCTTAATACAGCGCCATCCGTTCAAGAATAAAGTTCAACGTACATATATACTATTTAAATACTAATAAAGTGGGGGTATATATGCTTTCATGATAAACGTGACTCAATATAACATTGCGACTACAGTAAAAAAGCTTTTACTGTTCTAAAAACACAGATTTATAAGCAGTATTGGATTTGAAGATGTTAGAAACACACGTCATTGTTGTCATGTGGTGAATTTGGCCAATCGTGAAACAGCTGTCGTCATCAGTGCTCCTGCAGTCGCTCTGAAGAAACTGCACCAGCTGAGTCAGCCGGCTACTCTCGAAACGATATCGCGGTACTTTGATGCCACACGTGACAGTGACGTAGCGTCGGCACCGGTTCAAGTCGGACAAAATTTCTAACCAGCATGCACTGCTTCAAGTCAGCCGCCGATCGGTTTGCATGGCGCCGCATGAAGTCGAACGCACCTATTACCATAAATATGATAATGATGTGGGCGGGGCATGTTTAGACTCGAGGCCACGCCCCATCAGTCAATACCATAAATATGATAATGATATGGGCGGGGCATGTTTAGACTCGAGGACACGCCCCCATCAGTCAATCCCATAAATATGATAATGATATGGGCGGGGCATGTTTAGACTCGAGGACACGCCCCCATCAGTCAATACCATAAATATGATAATGATATGGGCGGGGCATGTTTAGACTCGAGGACACGCCCCCATCAGTCAATCCCATAAAGATAATAATGATGTGGGCGGGGCTTGTTTAGACTCGAGGCCACGCCCCCATCTGATAACTGGTTTGTTTGGACTGGCGGCATTTGATTTGAAAGACTCACAGTGCGAAATGAATGCCGGTGATGAGCTGAACGAGGAACTCTGATGTGACCATGAGCCGCGAGCTGATGCCTTTATAGCGGCGCACCTGCTGCCGGGGATACCCACAGATACAGACCCTGAAAACAGAAGAAACATCAGCAAACACAGTCAACGCCATCAAAATGTGAATTATGTTCAATGAAAAGCCCATGTTAGTCGTCCACTGGTTTAAATCCAGTGTAGCGTGACCTTTGACCTGTGAGGGAATGATCTTTGCTCACTCAGCTGTAAACATCAGCTGATTGGTTGAGTAATCAGTCATGTGACCATCACTCCGTGTGGGAAAAGATCAGTCACAGGTCTGAATGCGTTCAGGTTCAGGTCTATAAGAGGATCAGGGTGACGGGAAGCAGAGAGGATCAGGGTGGATTTGAGATGAAGAGACGCATTATACACACCAACACCCGACCTGAAACCCGACGAGAGCGGTCCAAAAACCAGACTGAACGGAGCACAGAGTCTGCCTCAACTTACCCTACTAGTTGAGCGGTGTGCGTTTTTAATATCAAGGAGTATGGAGAGGGTGATCGAAATCATGCTGATATATTAATGTACATAAATTGTACACAAACTAGGTGAAATTAAACAAAAATGTATTTTACTTTATATTCAATCACAAAAAAAAGAAAATTAATAATAAATAATGTATTTAAAGAAATTAAAATGTATTTACAATATAATGCATTTAAATAAACAAATTAATTATTTATTTATTTAGTCATTCATTCATTCACCAACCAACAGCCTCGGTGATGAATAATAAATAAATAAATGTATTTAAATAAACACAAATTAAATAAAATAAAACTTATAAAATAAAATAAAAATTTTAATTTAAATGAATATGTAAATAAAAAAAAATCATTTAAATGAAATTAAAAAAAGAAGTAAAATTAATAATTTTAAATACAATTTTAAATAAATAATGTATTTAAATAAATTGATATAAACAAAAAAAAAAATTTCAATACATAAATTTAAAAATAATTTAAATTAAAAAAAATATTGAAATAAATGAATATGTAGATAAATAAAACTGTATTTAAATAAACTGATTTAAATAAAAAAAAATCTTAAATAAATATGTATCTATCTATCTATAAATAAATAAATAATAAATGAATGTTTTTTTTTTTTGGGAACTGATACAAAAGGGATTAATTTCTTTTAATCAGCTAAATGGAGACGGACCTATGCTGATAATCTCAAAAAAGCCAAATATCTGCCAAGTTATTGCCTAATGTGAGTAGGTTTGGACTGAAAGCTGGCAGCGACACACTGCAAGAGGCAGGAGACGAGCGCAAGATTATGTGTTTCTTAAAGCAAACCAGCAGTGAATCACATCATCTTGATCATACAAAATGTTGGTGCTCAAACATTTGACATTTCAGGCAAACGCCTCAGTGCTGGTCCATCACAACCCTCAGGGATCATTATAAAACACACACTTCTGGCTCTCGATCCTGACTGCACGAGGTTTTGGGGACTAAGACTGTGTGTTAGAGTGTCGCATGTCGAACCTGGAGCTGAGCTGACACAGAGACTGCAGGGACGAACTGCTCATGTAGCTCAGAGACGCATTATAACACAGCAGCAGAAACGACAGGACCTCAAACCTGCAACACACACACCATCAGCATCGTCAAATTAGAGCAGAAAACACAGCATTCAATCCCACAGTCAGCACTCATTTGCGGATTAAAAATTGATGGCTATAATAAAAGCGTGGGGCGCGGGATGAATATTTGATGCGCACCTGTTCTGCGCAGTGAAGGTCTCGCGCTGCAGGTGGGGGCCGCTGTACACCACACGACTCAGGCCGTGATTGGCTAAGGCTCCTTCCGTCAAGGCCAAAGAGCCAATGGAAGACGGCTGGAGGCGGGACAGAGAGAAGACGGTCAGGACAGATGCAGCGAGACGGACACACCTCGTGATAAACACACTCACCTCGTGATAAACCGACGGCTTAGATAAGGAAGGGATGGTGAAGGACAAGACTTTACTCTGGCCGTCTTTATCGATGATTTCCTGAAAGAGAGAGAGAGAGAGAGAGAGAGAGAGAGATGATAAAAAGTGACAGGAACAGGCATTTACTGTTTGTATTTTGTGTGCTGTTGATGAAGAATAGAAATAAAGCTCACCAGAAAACACTAATCAACAGGCTTGCATTAAAATGAACTAAAAAAATTATAGTTTCCCGTCAGTCTCTTTTGCAGAATGATGAAAGCAACCAGATAAAGCATCAATTACACATCTAATGGGTTTCCTTTGGCTGCAATTTCATTTTGTTCCGTTAACACAGAAAACAAAAGCTGCCTGTCTTTGTCCGGAAGCGAAACTGGAAAAACAAATATGTTGTTGCCCAAAAGTGTTAATTTTGTTTGAATTAAAACTCATCTGGTTGTAAAAGAATGCAGAGATTAAAAAAAAAAAACTATGTCACCCCCTCCCCAAAATATCATTTTAAAGAATTATTACAAATTAAATATACATATTATATCTATATAATTTAAATCAAAATACATTTAAATAAATATAAAACTTTAAATATATCAATTGCAAAACAAAGCATTTATCTAAATCTTTATTTATATAATTTTTTATACTTATTTATATAAAAGATTTCCCCTATTATATATTTTATACACACACACAGATATATATATATATATATACATACACACACACACACACAGAAAAATATGATTATTTAATTTTCTAAATGCATAATTATTTTTTGAATTATTTAAAATAAAACAATTTTATTATTAAAAATACTATACATAATAACTATTTTAAAAGATATTCTGAAAAATATCTGTAATATTCAAAAACTGTCTGAAGAAATCGATTTGGTAAAATTATGATTTGGTAAATTCTATCAATATTCCGTTTAATTTTAAATATTTGTTATAAATTATTAAATCAAAAACACTTCCCCTCAAACATTATTTATGAAATGTTATATACTTATTTTTATTACAAAAAAAATTTCAAAAACATTCCCCACTAAAATTATATATATATATATATATATATCTGTGCAAATTGAAATCGTACCTTACTGTGCTGTTTGTTTGTTTGTGTTTGTTTATTAACACCATGCCTCCTTCTGTGGCCATCTTCATGGCAAGAAGCATTTAATGTAAATCACAACAGATTTTAAAAATCTATTTTTGCAAAAAAAAAAAAAACTACTTAAAATAATATTTGTTGAAAATGTTGTACAAATTTATCTTCCAAATTGTTAACTGCATTCAAAAAGGTTTCTCAAAGGGTTACCCAGCACACTCTAATAAAAACATGTTTCTCAAACACGGTCAGTTTTACCAGGGATGAACTGCTGAACATTCGGCAGAACACACCACAAAATCTCCTACCGGTTTTCAATTATTCAGACGTTTTGCTGAACGTTGTAGTTGGCGGAGCAGCAGTGCTGATCAAGCGCTTCGGGACGCACAGACGGGGGAAGCGAGCACATATATTTTGTATCATACAAGGCGTTTCATCCACACGAATCTGGTGTTTTGGGAGAGTGAAACCGATATTTTTTGAAACCGGGTCCCAGAGTGGATAAATCTGAAAACACCGCCCTTGCGTTTTCGTGTGGACAGCGAATCCGTATATTTTCTGAAACGATGACGTCATCAGCCCACGTCTCGCCCCTAGTCAGACACCGCTACGTCACGTAACAGCAACAAAAACATGATCAATCACTGAACTGTCTTTTTATTAACTAACATTAACACCGATCAATAAATGTATTGTTCCATGTTCGTTTATATACCGCGCGCAAGGTTTATGCGCATAGTCTGAAGTCTTCTTCTCTATTTTTAGTGCATCTCTGTGGCAGAATTACAGCACCACATACTGGTCTGGCATGTATACTACATCGTTTTGTGTCGGTTTTGTGGTTTCGTGTGGACGCAGATATTTCTTGAGACAAGTAGAAAAAAAAGATTGGATAGGGAAAGCTCTGGTTTCGTGTGGACGTAGCCTTAGACAGAGCGGATTTCGAACGGCGTTGCCTAGCATCCATCTGGCAAATCTCCGCTCTCTAACCAACAAAACGGACGAACTCCTTCTGCTCTCCCAGACAAAGAAGGATTTTTCAAACTCTGCTGCTCTGTGTTTCATGGAAACCTGGCTGAATGACGCCATTGCAGACAGCATGCTCCATCTGCCGGGCTTTCAGCTGTTCAGAGTGGACCGCGACGCAGAATCAACAGGGAAATAGCGTGGCGGAGGGACATGCTTTTACATCAATGAAAGGTGGTGTATAGACGTAACAGCGTTAAAGAATATGCGCTGTCCCGATCTGGAAGCGCTTTTCATTAACTGTAAGCCGTTCTACTCACCGCGGGAGTTTTGCTTATTCATTCTCATCAGTGTGTACATTCCTTCGCAAGCGTACGTGAGCCTGGCTTTACAGAAACTCGCTGATCTGATCACAGAGAGCAACAACACCCAGACTCTGTTTTAATCATTCTTGGGGACTTTAATAAAAGCAACTCTTTCCCGTGAACTGCCAAAATACAGACAGCATGTTACATGCCCCACCAGAGACAGTAATATATTGGATCACTGTTACACCACAATAAAGAATGCATATCACTCTGTTCCACGAGCAGCTTTGGGGCTCTCTGATCACAGTTTGGTTAATCTTATACCGACCTACAGGCAGAAACTGAAATCAGCTAAACCTGTATTAAGGACTGTAAAAAGATGGACTAATGAAGCAGAGCGGGATTTACAAGCCTGCTTCGACCTCACTGATTGGAGTGTTTTTGAAGCTGCTGCCACTGATCTGGACGAGCTCACAGAGACTGTAACATTTTATATCAGTTTCTGTGAAGACATGTGCATTCCTACCAGGACTCATTTAACCTACAACAACGACAAACCATGGTTCACTGCAAAACTCAGACAGCTCCATCAGGCCAAAGAAGATGCTCGCAGGAATGGGGACAGAGTCTTGTTTAAACAGGCCAAATACACAGATCAGAGTGGCAAAGAGGAAATATTCTGAAAAGTTAAGGAACCAATTATCTTCCAGTGACCCTGCTTCAGTGTGGAAAGTTCTGAAAGACATCAACTACAAGACACCATCCCCCAGCACTGTGGAGAATCAACAACTGGCAGACAATCCGAATGAGTTCTATTGCAGGTTTGAAAAAACACCATTCACACCT